TCATTTTAATAAGTCCCCACGGGACTGTGGAGGGAGAGGGGTGGGCAGCACCAAGATAAGCAGTCTTGAGTCCAAGCCTGGCTGGTGGCTTCCGAGCCCCAGGATCTGGGCCCCCCGGCCTCAGGCCTCAGGCCTCACTATGGCTCCCCCTCCCTCCCTCCCACCAAGGTCCAAGGTCTGGCAAAGTCTCAAGGGTAATTCGTAATCTTGGGGCCCTGCTCACCAAGGCCAATACTGTCAGCCTTGAGACCCTGGCCTTTGGGGGAGGGGAGGGGGTGCAGAGAAGGCTGAAAGAACAGCATGGCGTGGGGAGACTGGGGTCAAGGGTGAGGAGAGCACAAGGAAGTGGAAAAAGTTCCAGAAAACCCTGAGAAGAGGGGGCAGAGCCTCGAGATGCAGGATACTGGGGGCAGAGTGGAGACAGAGAAGGAAGGGAGGACGAGTGAGGGGCAGGACCGAGTCATCCTGCAGGTCTGCATCAGCTCCCTGGAGGGCTTGGCCAAGGAGGCACAGTGCACCTTCTGCCCTGACCATCGACCATCACTCATGAGGCACAAACGCTTCTCTCACAGCTGAGGACCTAGAGTGGGAGCCCCCGACGCAGGTGACAAAGTATGTAGAAAGTGTCCTGTCTAGATGAGCTGGGCGCCCCTTCCCCATCAGGGACCCAGAAGTGCTTTTAAAACCCAAAGGGGTGGGCTTACCCCAAGATTGGAGCAGCAAGTGACTGGGTGAGGGACCAGAGGCCCATGGCTTACCTTGAGCAGGTGTTGGGCAGTGTAGAAGCCAGCAGGGCCACTGCCCACCACACAGATCTGGGGGGTTTGTTCCTGCGTGGAGAACTGCTGGCGGGAGCCTGGGGGTGGGGGAGGGGAGGGGGGTCAGAACACACTCCCAAACCAACCTCAGTGTTAATCACGAGGTGGGGCCCCCCTCCTTTCTGTCCAAGCTCTGCTGTTTGCAGGGTTCCTTATTTCATCTGAACCCAAAGGCCGTGTCTTCACTCAGAACCCCACAGTTCACCCATGAGCTTACTATGTCGCAGAAGATGACCTACTCAACAAGCCCCCCGACCCCCCACCCCTGAGGTTGCGCTGCACAGTACTTCACTTTTCTTACGGGGTTTCCTACCCACCCAGCTAGGACAGCACATCCAGCGGACCCCGCATCACCCCAATCTCTCCCCGTGGACCTGCCCACGGTGCTCCAATTACCTCCAACCCTTCCCTCCATGGAACCTACATTCCCCAATAGACCCGCCTCATTCCTATCGACCGCTGGTTCCCCTGACTTCTCTCTTGCCCTATAGACCTCCATACACCCTCATTCACCCCTTCTCCCACCTGTGGAATCATGGTCTCCCCCTTTCACCTTTGTTGATCCTCATCTCACCCTAGGCACCTCACCCCCCAGGCTCCCATCCGGCCCCGTACCCCACCCCATCTTGTCCCTGTGAGTGGACGCCTCCAGTCTGGCCCCCGTCTCCTCTCTCGACCCCCTCCAGCTCTGCCCCAGTCGGACTCCAACCCCTCCATTCGGTGCTCGCAGGCCTTCCTCCCCGCGTTCCCATCCAGTCCCAGGGGTGCCCAGCTCCTACTCGGGGTGCTCCCGGCGGGAGGCGGCCGGGTCCGAGGCCATGCCAACCAGGGCCACCAGCGCCAGCAGCGGGGAGCCATGGCTGGGACTTGCACTCAGCCTGCGGAACTGGAGCTG